ATCAAAACTTTCAAATTTATTAACTAAAATCCCACTTGATTCCACCTTCTTATTACCATTTTTAATGAAATAGTTGTTTAAAGAGCTACTGCATATTTCAAAAAGCAGTGAGGAAATCCATGATTCGAGCGTCACCTCTAAACCTTCAATCTTGATGACATAAATATTATTTAAATTATTATTTTTCAAAGCATAAATAAAATGATAGGATAGGAACAACATCATTATATATGTGTATCTGTGTGGTATTGGTGCCATCATGTGAAAATAAAAAAAGTCAAACATAGTAGATTACTTTCAATTTCTTTCATGACGAAAAAGATGCATACTGAATTTAGCTTATTATATTATTAATATCTTGGAGCATGAGAAAAAAAATTAAGCGGTAATTTATTTAAGCATAGAAATTTTACACTTTTTTAAAATTATTTCTTATGTTTTCATATCTTGAAGCGCAAGAAAAGATTTGAATGAGAATTTTCTAGTACCTTTATTACAGACTCTTTAATATCGTTAAATGGATTTGTACTTTATAGCAACTATATCAAGACCTCTTATGCATTATCATCAAGTAAGCCCTAAAGATCTTGAGAAATGATGCTTTTTAGAAGTTATTCTTGGCAATCAATGGTGGCTTCGATGTCAAAACACTATCTTTTAAGTCACCATGGTTGCTATTGGCCAACAAACTCTTCTTTAATTTAGTGTCTTCATCAAACTCCAATTTAAGATATAAAAATATCTATAGGTGAAGGGGAAAACACTTGAGAAAGGAGATTATAATTAAAATCATGTCTTAAATCAATAATAAAAACTTACATGTTAGTTTGACTAAGGAGTCACCATGGTTGGTTTTCTTATTACTTCAGTCTCTTATACACCATTATAAGGCATAAGGTTATTAGTTCCTTGGTCTTTTAAAACCATAGAGGAATGAAGGATTTCACTTCCTAAAGACTCCTAAAAAATATTCACTACCCGATTAGTGGAAAGAGAACTAGCTTTTAGTATGACCCCTTCTTCTTTTAGGTTACTTTCCTGCTTTCTCTCTATATCCACTTTATATAATGAAAGTAAAAAAACATGATCTCTTATCATATCATTAAGTGATGAGATTTGTATGGTCATAAAATTAGTTATGTTAACATCTTTATTCCTCTCACCTTTTTCTTCATCTTTTGAACTAGAATGACATTTTCTTAACATGGCATTTAATTTTAAAAAAAATATCTATAATAGGATGCATTCACCTTTATCATGAAAAACTAGTATTCTAAAAGGCTTCATTATTAGAAGCATAAAGCTTATGGCTTTGAAAATAAATGAGGTTTCTTCAAGTATTATAATAGAATTACCTTGCTTGGAAATAATAGTTATAGGAGATGGAGTATGCTAGGATCAATAATAGTTGATGATGAAAGGTTGTTTTAGTAGCACTAGAATATTATAATGTCATTGTAGGATATGGTTTGAGTGTTTTTAGGATGATTAATAGTAAAAAAAGAATAATGTATTAGCAGCTTCAATAATTAGAATCTTAAGAATTATAATAATAATAAAATGTGAGACTTTTTTAATTAAAAAAGAATTCTTCATCATGAATAACAAACAAACAAATCTTCATTGTCATTTCTACAATAATCAATATTGAAGGAAGAGCAGCATAACAATTGACTTCTATAATAAATAAAAAAGTATAATAAGACAACATTTAAAGTAAATATATCAAATTCAAAATTAAAGAATTTATCTTGAGACTGGTCCTTCACTTGATATTATGAATCTCATAATTTTTGTTTTTAAATGTTAAAAGAGGTTGGGACTTGACAAGATTGACTATCAATTAGAAATAAAGATCAATAATAAACTCTAAAGCTATATAAAAAGAGTGTTATAAGAAAATATGATAAATAAAAAATTATAATCAAACAATTAAAAATAAATGTTCTTACAAAGTTTCATGTGCATGTTTTTTATTCAATCTCTAAGAGATTGATTTCAAAGATTTTTTTTTTTCTTTTATGTGGTAGCTTCCATCAAAGAAGCTTCTTGCTATTTTTATAAGGAATAATTATAGATAAGTTCTATGTTTTTTTTTTGGGTGTAAAGTGAAGAACCCTGAATGGTGGCCCAAGGTCACAACAAGTCCCTCGCATGAGAAATTTCAAAGTAATACTCCCTTACTTTATAAATTTATGTTACTTGCTCTAGATTAGTGAAAGTTATTTTATCTGAACCATTTTTATTCATAACATAAAGGATAAAGGATATGGAAATAAAATCATTACAGGAACCCCATTTAAAGGAACCCTAATTTTCATTCACCTTGACTAAATTATATTTTCAATTCTAAAAAGTCCTTTGAGGATATGATCCAAAATTTATTCAAATTAATAAAAAAAATAAAAAATTACACGACAATTAAAATTTTATTTTAAAAAATTAAAATTATATTCTTGTATAGCTAAGGGGAATTTTTATAATAAAAAAATAAAATAATTTCAATTTGAATTAAAAAATTTAATAAATTAAACTTAGAGAGTTATCCAATTATGTAAGGATAAATTGAATGAAATTTTATGAAGTAAAGGTGCAGATGCTTTTAATAGAGATATAATATTTATCATATAAGAATATTTGTAAAAGAAACTAAAAGATACACTTAATTTACTGGGGTTGATATTTTAATTTGAAACTTGATAGATGTCAATGGATTTTTATTAATAAAGTATAAAGATTATCGATTTGAAACCCAACTTAAATCAAACTTGGTATGTATGTATGTATGTATGTATGTATATTAGGAGTACAATTAATTAAATAAAAAATATAAAAATCAATTTGTATAAATTAAAAAAATTATAAAATATAAATACTTTATATATTATTATCCTTTAAAAAATAAAAATATATTAAAATAGTATCAGCCTAGGCTCACCTAACTAACAGTTAACTACCATGTCAATATTTCAATGACAAAATTAACAGAGGTACTTAATTGATCAAACAATTCAGGAATATAATTACAGTATTCGTGAATACAAGTACTTAAGTAGAAGAAAAATTAGGGCAGATACTCAAATAAAAGAAATATAGAATATAAGTTTTTAATATGCCATTATTTCTTTTAGATACTGTGTTAAGTTGTTTTTGCTTAGCATCGTTTTAAGGATAGATACTACAACAAAGTAGTAATTTGTCTTAGAGTGATTTGTTTTGAAAAATATTTTGTTCAAAAATGTCTTTTTTTTTTCTAACTATCAATGCAAAACAAACACTAAAAACAATGAAAAATATTTCTAGTTAATCCTTAGATGATACTAATTCTTTAAAAAATATTTTAATCTCATAAAAGTTTTTTTAATACATCTCACCATCACAACCATTTAATTATGACAACTATTATCTTTAGATAATACTAATTTTTTTTTAAAATATTTTAATCTCATAAAAGTTTTTTTAATACATCTCACCATCACAACCACTCAATTATGACCACCACTATAAACCACCATTTTATTATATAAGTCCCAACACCATTTCAAAATAATAACAATACCATTACATTATTAAAATTGTATTTAAAAGTGTGATTCTAATTGTTTTTTAAAGTGTTTTTCATTCATAAAAGTATACTAGTTTTTTTTTTTCTAACTATCAATGCAAAACAAACACTAAAAACAGTGAAAAATATTTCTAATTAATCCTTAGATTATACTAATTTTTTTAAAAATATTTTAATCTCATAAAAGTTTTTTTAATACACTTCACCATTACAACCACTCAATTATGACCACCGCTGTAAACCACCATTTTATTATATAAGTCCCTAACACCATTTTAAAATAATAACAATACTATTACATTATTAAAATTATATTTAAGAGTGTAATTGTGATTGTAATTATTTTTTAAAGTGTTTTTCATTCAAAAAAATATGTTAGTAATATTTTTATATTTTTAAAAATTATTTTTGAGATCAGCATATCAAAATAATTTTAAAATATCAAAAATATATTAATTCAAAATAAAAAAATTTAAATTTTTTCAAAAACACTTTTTTTTTTAAAAATTATTTTTAAGATTAGAACATCATAATAATTTTTAAATATTAACAATATATTGTAATTGTGATTGTAATTATTTTTTAAAGTGTTTTTCATTCAAAAAAATATGTTAGTAATATTTTTATATTTTTAAAAATTATTTTTGAGATCAGCATATCAAAATAATTTTAAAATATCAAAAATATATTAATTCAAAATAAAAAAATTTAAATTTTTTCAAAAACACTTTTAAAAAATACGAATAATTAATACCACCATCTTTAATATCACATGATAACTTTTCTCACATTACAATTATTATATCTAAAAGGCTTTAATACTGTTTATTATCACAACCACTCAATCATGACAACCACCATAAACCACGATCTCATTATACAAGTTTCCAATACCATTCCAAATCATTACATCATTGTAATCTTATTAAATAAATTTTATTATTTTTCCACTATAATTATTATCAAAATAATAATTATTATATGATTAATACCACTATTTTTAATATCATTATCATTACTGCTATTATAATTTTTTTATAACAATTATTATATAAAAAAATATAAATAAAAAATAATTTATTTTACAAGAAAATATTTTTCTTGATCTATGCAAACAATGAAAATAAAATGTTTTCCGTATAAAAAAAAAATACCTGAATGCATATCGAACAGTGAAATGATTCGTATTCATAAGATTATAATATCCTAAAATGATTTGTGTAATTAATTCATTATTTAGAATTATGTTGACTTGATCAGGAACTCCGTTTGAAACAAACGAAAATAGAAGTAAGAAGTTAAGAGAATTTGTTGCGTTATAACTATAATTATAAAAACAACTTAAGGAACTTTCAATTTATCTTCATGTTCTATTCTTCTACTTTTATTATCATAAAGATTGAGAAGTAAACTCGCAGGATAAAATCTTAAATCAGCACAGTTTATATGACTTGCATTCATGGGCATGCAATCATGTTCCAGAAGGACTGGTACAAAGATATAAAAGGCGTGGAAACCTTAATATTTGCTACATTTGCGTGCCAAATATGGATCATCCATGAGATGCCTTCACATTACTAAAACTGTGTTCATCGTTATCATTTCATTGCCAAAGGTAGAACTTCCATTACAAATCATGCTTCACAGCTACTCTGGCATTCTTAGGAAAATCCTCAACAAGGACATGAAATGATGAAGGGTCAGTCAGGAAACTCAATCTAGGGTTCTTCCATGTCAATATATGCCTGATTTCCCAACATCTGTTGTAACAGCACGAAAATGAACTATTCCAGGATAAGCAGTGCTACAATGGGGCGACCAAGTTTCCTCAAAGTTACTCTATTGTACAGCTTCAAAGCAAAGAATCTGCGGTTGAAACTGCTCATGTGAACACTTGCTTAGGAGATCATCCCAACACCCAACGACCTGCACAAATCAAATTTGAATAACTTCTACAAACAAGTTAACAGTGCAAGAAAAAAAAATCTATTACATAAACTTTCCTTACAATTGAGAAATGGAACTTACCTCAACATTAGCATCGTTAAACATGGTCCATCTCTTATGCTCATGACTGTAACTAAAGCAAACATAGTGTTGGTGATGATAGCAGACCTACAATTAAATGTGAAAAGACAGATTCTAGTAAGTGATTTTCTGTAAAGTAATAGACAACTTTCTAACGCTGCAGCAGCACCAGATCAACTAGAAAAGGAAAATAATCAAAACACTACTAATTCAAGACGAGAAGAAATGATTGTTAAACAACCAGAGAAGAAATTATTTTTATCGAATCATTAGAAAGCACACATCATGGAAATAATCAAAACACTACTAATTCAAGACAAGAGAAGAAATCATTTTTATCGAATAATTAGAAAGCACACATCATAGTCTAGATTATTAAACACTAGCGAAGTTTGATACATGTGTGAAGTATACCACTGAAACCAGGCAGTACTTTTTCGCCGGTCCTAAACCTTGATATACAACACCGATATCTAACTCAGTACCCAGAGCTGTTAAAGTTTTCCTTGTATCCTCTCTACTCTCATGTGCAGTCTGCACAATAACTGCAATAAACACATCTTAAACTAGTAAATATTAGAGCATTAATGTTGAGAAAAGGACACCACATATCTCTAGCTCAACTACCCGCTAGCTTACCACAAATGAAGACAAGGGGAGGTGTTCGAAGAATGAATTGGATACGGTTATGTTTTCCACAGCCTCCAGCATCTCGATTGCAAGTTGAGCAATCATCCATTAACATCAGCTTCATAAGTTCATCGAAGGAGCTAGCTTGATTTTTGATCTGTTGCACAATGGTTGGTTAATCACACAAATGCTAATGGGATAAAAATTAGTCTGGTATCTATTATAATATGGAATAAATACATGAATGAAAAAAAGCAACTTTGCTATCAAAAGAAAGGGAAAAAAATAGCAAATACTGCCTTTTTTTCTCTAAGCTGACTTGAACGTATATAGTGAGAAAAATCAGAAAACGTTTGATGCCTCCACTCCAGACCACAGCTGTCACAGTACCCATAAATGTCCAAACCAAAAAGTCTATGAGCTAAACATTTATTGCTTGTCCACTGCTGACAGTCTACCCGCTTGCTTTTCTCTGATTCAGATGAGGCATCTGGGGCTGGGCAACTGGTAAAGGACTGATGAAGAATAACAAGAATATTTTGCAGAACCTCATCCGCATCGTTCATTTGTCCCTGTGAATTTGGTAGATATTGTCAGTACTGCAATCACACATGAAAGTGCTCGGTGATTACCATTTTCAAAATTCTGTAACTATACTGCAAATTAAGTGCAAAAGTAGAGGAGGTATACAGCATTCACTTTACAAACCTCCTGAAAGCTATTCCCACGAGGGGAGTTTTTGCTGATGGCAAGTCTTAAGGAGGCTGTAGAAACAATCTGTCTTTTAGTACAAGTAGATGCCTCACTTAATTCACCAAATACCTCAGCTAATCCACAAACAATGCAGGGATCTCCAACATGCTCATGTCCTGAATCTGTTATGCTGCACAACTCATTCCGAACCAGCTGTACATTCCATAAGCACTGCATTTTGTTTAAGAACAAAAGACTAGAGGATTAAAAGCTGATAAAACTACATATGGAAATACAACAATTCCTATAGGAAATGGTACAAACTCAAAATTTGGTATGGATAGAACCTGTATGATCGCGTTTAAAAAGCAACTATTTTCACCAATATCATTTTTTAGTCCAGCACCAGATATGCCAGATCTATCCTCATAGTTGACCTTTGAAGCACTCTGTGATTTCCCAGATTCTTCCTCTTCAAAGAATGATTTCGGAGGCATATTTTTATCTATCTCAGTTGGTTCACTCTCTACAAAGAAAAGAATTCGTGGCTGGAAATGCTTTTCTTCACACTTTTTACAGAGACAATCCCAACTCCCAATGACCTGTACAAATCAAATTTTACTTATGAACATGATAGCATAAAATCTATCATAACTTTCTTGACCCAGAATGTACCTCCACATGTGTGTCATCATACATCATCCACCTCTTGCACTCATCGCTGTAAATGAAGCACGAGTAGAGTAGCCCACGATAGCAAACCTACAAAATAGATTGATGGCTTTTAGCAGTGAAATAATCTGTTCACTGGTCTCTTTCAGTAATTAACAGTAAATAGTTTTCAGAAGCTAAAGAATCATGAAGTCAACTACAGACGGCACATTAAATTATTAAATTATTTCTTTATTCACAATAATCACCATGCTAATTCAGGACAGTAAGATGAGATGCATTGTTGATTGAATTGATAGAAGGTACAGTTATTTTTATGTTACGGTTAAGGGCCTCCTCAAGCCAACTTGTGCACATAGAGATAAGTCCTCTCCAGCCCATTCAAAGGCAAACCCTCGAGTAATCACCTTCTTGTGGCAAAGTTTCAATGAGCTGGTGGGATTCAAACCCTTGTTGAGCACCTAACCACCCAAAGTCACGACTCACAACTGATGCTCAACTCATTCAATCCTTAGGGTTAGAAGAAACAGAAATTATACACTAGTGTAGTTTTAGGAATGTGAAGTATACCACTGAAACCAGGCGGTATTTTTTTCCTTTTCCTAAACCTTGATAAAGAATGCCAATGTCTATTTCAGTTGCAAGAGCTGCTAAAGTTTCTCTGATATCTTCTCTAGCAACCCATATAGTTGTCCACTCTAGAACTGCAAATAACCATGCAATTTAAACCATTAAACTTTCCCAGCATTGTTGAGAAAATGACAGACTACATAATTGTAAACAATGAATTACCACTGGTGAACACATGGGAAGGTGTTTGAAGAAAGTATTTGAAATGGTTTTCTCTACATCCATCGGCATCTGTTTCCAAATTTAAATGATAATCCACCAGCTTGGGCTTCAAAAGCTCATCAAATGAGCTAGTTCCCTGCCTAATCAGAGTTGAAACCTGATTACACAAATATCAATGGTATTAACATGATATCTGTTGTATATGGGATAGAAGACAAGCAACTTTGTCAAGGAAAGAAGATTCTGCCTTTTTTCTGAGTTCAAATGCGGATATGGTGTGAAAGAAAAAGGTATGCTTTTGTTGTCTCGACTCCAGACCACAGCTGTCATAATTCATGCTTTTATAAACTGTCATACCAAAGAGTGTATGAACCAGGCAAGTGTCAGTTGTGCACTCCAAAGATCCTACACAATTTTTCTCTGATTCAGGTAGAGAGAAATCTTCAACACTGGTGAGGGAATGATGAAGAGAATCAAGAATAATCCATAGCACTTCAAAAGCGTTGTTCATTTTTTCCTGTGAATTTGGTATATCATTGTCAGAAACGCAATGGTACAAGACAGTGCTTGTTGATTAAAATTTGTAACTTCAGCAAAAACAGAAAGCAGAAAAGTGAAGGACATATACAGCAGTCTCTATACAAACCTTCTGGAAGAGATCTCCACAAGGGGACAATTTGTCAATGGCAATGCTTAAGGAGGTTGGATAAATAATTTCTCTGCTAGGATTTATAATTGCTGCACTTAGTTTATCAAATATCTCAGCTAATCCACAGAGAATGCAAGGATCTCCAACATGCTTATGTTCTGGAGCTGTTTTACAAGCTAACTCATTCCGAAACTGTGGTATATGCCATAAGGACTGCACTTTACAAAAAATAACAAAGGACTTGCTGATTTGAGAGCTGGCAAAAATTTGTATAGGAAAAGAAAACAATCAATATTCAAAAAGGAACATAATCAAAATCCAGAAAGATATGGCAACTGAACCTGTATAATCACATTTAAGGAGCTATAGTTTTTGCCGATATCATTTTTCAGCCCAGAACCCAATATTTCAGATCCATCCATGTAATCAAACTTGGAATCAGTTGGACATTTTCCAGTTTCTTCCCCTTTCAAGAATAAATTTTGAAGTAACTTTTGATCCATCTCCAAGGGAACATGCTTTTGCACTCGACATGCATCTGGAAGTTAAAAGGAACCATTTTCAGAGTGATGGAGCCTTTATAATTGTTCAACTAGTTTGAGAAATATTCTCCCAAACAAAAAAACATAGTTTGAAACAGAGCATATTGTTTCTTCATCTGAACTCTGAATCTTGATGTACAAGTGCCTGCCTATCAACTTTTCCATCTATACCCTTCATGTAAGCCATATACCTGAATACTTTTCAGTACATATGTTGTCTAACATAGCATGTAATGATTTCTTTAATCTAAATTCAAAATCATAAACATGAAATACAAATCCTTTCAGTGTTTGCTAGGGATCCAAACAGTGAAAGCAATTGTGGACTGGTTTATTCTTGAAAGAGGGAAGCTATTCATGTGAAAGCCCATGGATTTGGAAAAAGACATTCCCATATAAAAAACTGAATCTAAATTCTAAAGTGATCATTCATGGTTTCTTGATGCAGCAGGCACATGGCAGAAGACTTGCCATTTTATCATGTAATTAGCAAATCTAGCATGAGTGTCAATTCAATGCATACCAAAATGAAGCAAACAGAAGTATCTAAACAGTACTGCTATTACCTTGAAATTTATCCTGACGTAAAAATTTCATTTCATTTTGAACATGACTTTGCAAATTCCCACCTTCATCCTTTGCAGTTTGCCAATCATTATGCAGCGTACTCTCTTGAGGAACATCTTCAGCTGATGGACCAGCTCAACACATAATACAGTTGAAAAATTAAGACCCCTATCTAAAAGACCTTAATTGGTGCTATAGTCAAAGATACTAATATAAGGGATCTTAACCTTGCTTCACTTCCCCAACTCCTAGATTGCATAGCATGCCAGAACTCCCACTAAGTTTTCTGAGATCATCAAATTGTGGACACTGGACAATGGAACAAATAAAAATATGTCAACATAATAACAACAAAATTCATGTTAACTATATGAGAAGATTACTACTTTATGTAGGTCTGAACACTTATCAGAATAACAGGACGAGTAGAAATCTGCCACCTTTATAATGCCAGCTTCAAAGAAAAGAATCTGTGGCTGCAAGAGCTCATCTACACACTTGTCGAGGAGATTATGCCAAAACCCAATGACCTGTACAAATCAAAACAAATGACATTTACAAAAAAAATGTAAAGAAAATCTATCCCATTATTAGCTTTCTTTAACAATGTAAGCAATGGAATGGAATTTATATACCTCCACATGCACACCATCATACATGGTCCATCTTTTACCCTCATGACTATAACAAAAGCAGACATAGTGTAGCTCATCATAGCAAACCTACAAATCAAAATGATGCAAATGTTCTATCTCATAAGAGGTTTTTCTGTACAAAACACAGATTTCTGCTGTGAAAAAAACACCATCTCAACTTGAAAAAGTAAAATAAGTTATTTGTTTATTTGCAATAATAATCAAACCACTACTAATTCAGAATAAAAGGATGTCTGAAGCATTCAAATGAAGTCGAGACTATTACACATGCATGCATAGCTCATGAAGTATACCATTGAAGTAAGGCAATATCCGTTCCCTGGTCCTTGACCTATAAATACATCACCGATATCTACTTCAGTATCCAAAGCTGTTAAAGTATCTCTTATATCTTCTCTTCTCTCACGTGCAGTCTGCGTACTGAGAACTGCAATAGGAACCACATCAAAATTTATTAAATATTCTAGCATTAATGTTGATAATATGCCACACTACATATTTCTAAAAACCTACTCGCTAGCATACCGCAAACAAAGACTTGGGGAGGTGTTCGAAGAATGAATTGGATTCGGTTAGATTTTCCACAGCCTCCAGCATCTCGATTGCAAGTTAAGCAATCATCCATTAGCATCAGCTTCATAAGTTCATCAAAGGAGCTAGCTTGATTTTTGTTCTGTTGCACAATGGTTGGTTAATCACACAAATGCTAATGGGATAAAAATTAGTCTGGTATCTATTATAATATGGAATAAATACATGAATGAAAAAAAGCTCACACAAATGCTAATGGGATAAAAATTATTCTGGTATATGTTATAATATGGAATAAAAAAAAATTAAAAAACAACTTTGCTATCAAAAGAAAGGGAAAAAAATAGCAAATACTGCCTTTTTTTCTCTAAGCTGACTTGAACGTATATAGTGAGAAAAATCAGAAAACGTTTGATGCCTCCACTCCAGACCACAGCTGTCACAGTACCCATAAATGTCCAAACCAAAAAGTCTATGAGCTAAACATTTATTGCTTGTCCACTGCTGACAGTCTACCCGCTTGCTTTTCTCTGATTCAGATGAGGCATCTGGGGCTGGGCAACTGGTAAAGGACTGATGAAGAATAACAAGAATATTTTGCAGAACCTCATCCGCATCGTTCATTTGTCCCTGTGAATTTGGTAGATATTGTCAGTACTGCAATCACACATGAAAGTGCTCGGTGATTACCATTTTCAAAATTCTGTAACTATACTGCAAATTGAGAGCAAAGGTAGAGGAGGCGCACAGCATTCTCTTTACAAACCTCCTGAAAGCTATCCCTATGAGCGAAGCATTTGCTTATGGCAAGTCTTAAGGAGGTTGTAGATACAATTTCTCTCCTAGTACAAGTAGATGCCTCACTTAGTTCACCAAATATCTCAGCTAGTTCACAAACAATGCAGGGATCTCCAATATGCTCATGTCCTGAATCTGTTATGCTGCACAACTCATTCCGAACCAGTTGTATATTCCATAAGCACTGCATTTTGTTTAAGAACAATAAAATACTAGAGCATTAAAAGCTTCTAGAACTACACAAGGAAATAGAACAATTCCTATAGGAAAAGGTACAAACTCAAAATTTGATATGGATAGAACCTGTATGATCACGTTTAGAAAGCAATTATTTTCGCCAATATCATTTTTCAGTACAACACCAAATATGCCAGAGCCACTCGGTGATTTCCCAGATTCTTCCTCTTTCAAGAATGATTTCTGAGGCACCTTAGAACCAATCTTGCTTCTATGTTCATCTTCCATTTGTTTCAAATCTTCGGTGCTTGTGGAAACAACAATGCCAAAATCTGAATAACCACCATCAGATGCAATAGAATGGCAGCTGCTGACCAACATGAGGAAAACATCTTCAGTCAGATATAAACTTGAAAATTAAAACCATTTGGTAATAATTTTTTTCAATAAAATGTACTTTAGCAGCACAGAGAAACAAAAAGAAAGGCATTGAGAGATAGATTTCCATGTAAAAATGCCAAACAAAGTATATGTTGACTTACACTTTTTCTGCATTTTCCTTCTCCAGAGGAAGGTGCTCCTGGCTTACACCAGCTCCCTAAAAGGTGAGATCAGACCTTTGTCAATTTTTCATAATGTTATCAACTATTTTAATCATCCAGACAAATGATCCATGTGAAAGAAAACGAGAACAAAGTCCAGAGATTAAACCTCATCATCCATGGCCTTCCCTTGATTTTTGTGCTTTTTAAGTTTAGATTTCTTTCGTGTTTTTCTCGAATTATCACTTCCTTTGGTTATATTCTTGCTGGGTTCAGGAGCTAGATCAGCCAATGCTAAAAGCATTTCTGCATCATTGGCCTTCTTCATAGCATCTTTGTTAGCAAGATCCTTCTTCACAGCATCTTTGTTAGCAAGATCCTCAAGATGTGCCTAGGAGATTTTAAAAAAGAGGGCATACATGGGATAAAAGAAGCATAACAGAATCAAATAAAACAGCCATGAGCAAGAAGGTCCAATACTAACCCGTATAAATGACTTCACCATATAGAACAAAATGAATTGATAGTCAAGGGCAGATACCAACACAAATTTCGGCTCCATCCTCTTTATGCTAGCAACGTTCTTCATGATTAAAACATCATTTTCGCAGAACTGCAAGATCTAACATAGTGAGTCCACTTGAAGAAAAATTATTTGTTTCTGTTCCCGGATTTTTTTGCTGTAGTAGTTTTAATTTAGGACTTACAACATTAAGAATGATTGGGTAAGAATCTAAAATAACATTAAGATATAAGCATCAAAATTGGGTAAGAATCTAAAATAACATTAAGATATAAGCATCAAATCACACTGATATCTATCTGTAATATATAATACACTCATATGCAAAAAAGTATCATGAATGAATAATGACATTTAAGATCAAATACAAAAGGCTGAGGTAAGGGTTAATAAAGTTGAGCTATAATTGCAAACTTGCAGTCCACCTCTCTAACCACATTTTGTTTCTCCATCTTTATTGCTTCTTTGACACAAACATCTACCAGTATATCTCGATTCGCCTTATCCTCATGGCATTCCAAATCGGGGAACTGAGTGTAAGTGCTGATCAGTGTTTCATCAAGTCCGAACTTTTTATGACCAACATATTGCGCAAATCTCAGAACATTCAATATACACGCATGCTCATTCCCTATGATATCAGACTGAGCATCAACAAGCTCATCTTGCCGTTCAACCAACAGGGATGCGAAATTTTGTTCTTTGTACTCCGATATTTCCTCCCTCCTCTTATATTCTTCTAGGCATATATTCTCAACATCAGTAAACGTTTCTTGGTACTCTAACAACCCGCATTTTCTTTCGCAGAAGTATTTTAATAAACTAAAATCTGTCTCAACAAATTGGAAAACCATCCCCGCTAGTTCTTTATCAAGTTTTCTGAGATTTATCCATGAATATAGCAGCTCCTGAATCTTATCACTCACAAACAACCAATTCACAAATTTGTAACGATCAAACTGGATATCCTTTTCAGGGTCATCAACAAAAGGAATCACTGTAGTTCCCTCATCTGCAACAACGTCACTATGCTCTCCTGCATCGAGCATTGATCTGATGAATTTCTTATCCAATATGAGGCATGAAGAGTCGCTGTTAAAATGAATGGGCTCATAATCACAAAATTCATCTTTGCTATCTCCTCCATCATCCGAGATATTCTCCTCTAAATCACAGTCATTAGACAGCTGTTCCAAAAAGTCAAACACCACCTCAAGTTGCTCAAGCCATAAAAAGCAAATAGACAGGGGTGTTTGCGTTTGTTCTAGGATAGGAACCAAATCCTGAAATCCTAGCTCCATGCTCTCTTCTAACTCCTGAATAGTATAGTCCCACATCCATGACAAGATTCGCGGTGCCAGGCACTGATTCTTCAAGAACAATTTGAGCAATCGATGAATTTTCTTCAACAACTCTTGACGCTCAGCATCATCACAGAACATCCACTTCTTCTGATCGCTATAAATCTTACACTTTTCTTGGTACACATCGTTTTTGCAATGTTTGAATGTCGACAATTCTTGTGCCATGTTATCTACATCCACAGGTTTCCACACGCCATTTTCAATCTCCTCAACATAGCTATCTTCCAATCCAAAGGGAACAAGTTCCATTTGCTGCTCTGATAAACCCCCAAGATGCTTCAAGAAAACATGACTGCGCAACTCCTCCCATTCAAAAAAGAACAATGCACATGAAAAACATTTCAAACACTTCCACTTGTTCGTCTTCCTTGCAAAGTCTACAGCCTCCAACAAATAGTCCGCCACTAATCGATCATGCTTCTTGTAATAGCCAGCAATCTCATCAATACTCACTTGTAGTAATCCTTTTCTCTTTTCACTACTCATTTCCTTCCAGTAGTTCGAAACAATGGTTATGTTGCCGGAATCCGCCTTTACTTTGTTCAGAATGCTTTGGGGATCTTTAACAACAAAACCAGAACAAAGCCTTTTTTCGCAATCCCTCAAGATCTTAATTTCGTTTTTAATGAATTTCCTTTTCTCATTTCTTTCATATTCACAAGGCAACTTCTCATCTTTCGGAACCCTGGCCTTAATCGTAAGACAGGCACTCTCCTTCATCTTCTCGCTCACACCTTTACCGATCAATAACGACTCAATCTTGGCTTTATCCATCACGTCGAGTAATACTTGTTTCAGTCTCTGAATTCTTGATTCTTGGCTCTTTCCTCCCATTTCTGGTTGGGAAGCTATAATGTCTTCGCCTGGACCCAAGCCTGAGGGGAGCGCCTTTAACGCTTTCCAGCAGTGATCGATTATTCTTTGATAGTCACTAGAATATTTAGCCAGTTTAATGAAAATCCGAGCATTTAGATAATTGAGAGTGATTGAGTTGGGAAACAGAGATAGGGATTTCTTGGCTGAATCAGCGGCGTTGTTGAGGTATTTCTGTTTAAGAGTGGAGAAGGAACTCGAAGTTTGAGAGTAGATTTTGAAATGGACAAAGGATTGGCTGTGGTGGACGGCGGCGGAGTTTGGGTGTTTGGAAATCAAGTCTTTGATTCTCTTTAGGGATTTTTGAGGGTTGCTATTCACATCCCTTAATGCTTGTTCGCACGCTGATCTTATGATTTCCGAAGAAGAATCATCGACGGTGGATTCAAGAGGTTTGGCGGTGGTTTGTGCTTGTTTGTGGCGGGGAGCAGCGGAGGAGGGTTTCTTCGTCTTTCCCATTTGTGGAGGGAATTTCAAGAATTGGAAATGGCTACTGGTTGGTTTCTTTATAGTAATTTCCACGTTTTATTTTCCTTTACTAAGATTTATGAGGTTATTATTACATGTATTGTTTGATGTCTAAAATGTATAAATCTATAATATTTTATTTATTAGATATCAAATTAATTAAGATCATATTTTTGAGTTTTTGTCATTGGGAAACTATAATTTTTTAAAAGGTAGAGGTAAAATATTACAGTAATTGATAAAAGATTTTAGAAAAATAACATTAAAGAAAACAATATTTAAAAAATAATATGGTTCTAAATCAATTATTATTAAAAAACCATAGATTTAATAACAACAACTAATAATAATAATAAAAATTAGAACTACTAAGTAATTGTTATTGAAAATAGTAGTTGTGTCTTAAACTTAATTTTGATATAAAACTACATTTAAATCACCATAATTAAAAGTCAAATAAAATTATAAATTATCAAAATTTAGATATATAATTGAAAGTGTGATGTCATTATTTTTATTTGTTAATTACAATTTTAAATTAATATGTGTGTTTTTTAAATATTGTTTTTATTTTTGTATTTTTTAAGTTGTCAATGAATGATTTAAAATTTTAAATAATATGTTAACATGTTTATCTATTTTTTTTCATCATGTTTATATAAACCAAATATAAAAATACATAATATATGAAATAATTTTAAAATTAATATTACAATTAATAATTACTATTTCGAATTACGGTTATTAAAGAAGCTATCAAGAAAAAGCGTTGTTCTAAATCGTAATTGTTAAAAAACTATTATTTTAAATCATAGTTATTTATTTAATAACTATAATTTAGAATAATAGTTATATAAAAATTATGCAATTTAAAAAAAAAAATGAGTTACTATTTTTTTTCAAAAAAAAATCGTATAATCTCTTATAATTATAATATATGGCCGCATCTTCAGTTTTCTGAGCCTTTTTAGCTTCTTCTTCTTCCGAGATCCTTAAGTTTGTTCATGCGAGCGGCTTTCCGTTCCTTGCTTCTCTGAAGAAACACACGAATGAACAGGGTTTCATATCTCAGTCATTTTGCAAGACAAAACGGAAGCCATTAAAACAGCTGACATTTCCAATTTCTGTCAAGTATTACATCATTATCCCGAGAGGGATGACAGTACTCATCTGCTACTAAGTTTGTTTGAAACAGCAGACCTTTTATGTGAAGGAAACGAGCAGCACCAAGAAGCGATTCAGAGATAAAATCTCACCAGAAATAAATACAGTAACACCGAGCAGGCACAAGTTGGTTAAAATACATGTCCGAACTATCATTAGAAAAGCAAGCAGCGCCAAACAATGCTTAGTTCGTCTCAAGAAAATACAAAGTAGGAATATATTATAAATGGAAAATATATGAGAGTTCTGTCACCGGAACGCTAATAGGAAATTTGCCGACCACCATGGCAACAGAGATTTTGCCACTGGCAAATATTTTTGCGTTTGAGGGTTTCTGATATTTGGATTTAAGGTAATCTCTGTCTCAGACTTCAAAACCTGATTTTTTGGTTTTTTAGGAATTCTCATTTGCCTCTGCTCGACTAATGTAACTTTCAACCAGTAAATCTTGAGGATCATCTAAATCTTCCTTTCTAACACCAGGTATGGGAAGGACTTCATTTCTGGCGGCAGCCTGCAAGCGTTTGATAGTCTCATGCATACTCAGGAACAAAGCCTTCAGCCTCGTTATCAACAAAAGGTGACAGGTGCGGTGGAGGAATCCTGTTAGCGGGGCAATCATGTCAAAACAAGAAACATGCTGCATGTTGAAAGTATAGACCAAGCGCCTGCAAGCGTTTGATAGTCTCTGCATACTCAGGAACAAAGCGGCAGCCTGCAAGCGTTTGATAGTCTCATGCATACTCAGGAACAAAGCCTTCAGCCTCGTTATCAACAAAAGGTGACAGGTGCGGTGGAGGAATCCTGTTAGCGGGGCAATCATGTCAAAACAAGAAACATGCTGCATGTTGAAAGTATAGACCAAGCATCAATCTCTTAAATGCAATCGATAATAGAGAAGGAACGTATTCAATAGCAACACATGTTATTGAATACTATTATGATTCCTGCAATGAGTTTTTCTCTTGAAATATGATAGCTATGCAATCAATATTACAGAACATAGCAACTGAATGCTACTTGTCACTCTTTAATAGATCAAACTATAAAATAATAGGGAAGTGAGGAAACTTAAACAAGGGAAAAGAACTTCAGATTGTTTTTCCTAAAAATTACCCTCCCACCATATAAGCTTCTGTTGGCAATATGATCCGTGCATTAATGCAATCGTAAATCCACTGCGGTTGAACATATTCTCTCGAAAGATATTTGTGACCTGGGGTTGGCTATGGAATCAGTACCAAACAATGGCTATGAAATCATCATTCATATCTGTATAAACAACTTGATACGTAACTAGAGTACACCCTTGTTTGCAGGGATATCTGTATAAACAACTTGATACGTAACTAAAGTATACTGATTAGGTAAAATCTATTCTTACAATCCCTTTTCACGAAAACCAGGCTCCAAAACTTTAAAAAAACATGCAAATGCACACCCTTGTTTGCAGGGATAGACTTAACTCAGATTATTTAAAATGAACTTGAACATCAATGCACTAGGTTCATTGGAAGGAAGTTGATGATGAAGTTGGGCAAGTCTTAGTTCAGAGTCATGATCAGTCTGCATCTCCTTCTCTCGAGCCTCTACTTGCTCTGATGTAGATGAACTAGTAGCTTTGGGTTCCAAGGTGGAAGTTCTGGAGTTAGAAACAATGCTAGTAGCTTTGGGTTCCAAGGTGGAAGTTAGAAACAATTTATCCTGACAGTGCATAGAGATCTGCAGAACCAATAGTGGTTCATGATAAGTGCACAAAAGAAAAAGGAACCACACGGTATGGCATTAAGAAAAACATCATGGACAGAGAAAAAAAAAGAACAAAATTGGTGTTGAATAAACAGAAAGATACGTAAATCTCTACCTGCATGAAAAGACAAGGCATACCTGATGGTAAAGCTTCCAATTGGGGATCAATAATGGGTGGACACTTCACATTCATTGAATGATAGAGCCTAAAATTGACAAACCCAAGGAGACTCTGCACCCAAATAAACAGTAAGTAATCGCAAGAAAAGTACGCAAGCTAAAAATAAAAGAAACGCTATATCCACAAACACTTCCACTTAGGAGAGTTAATTCATCAGCTAATTTCACTGGTTGAGGCCTCAAAGGTCGATAAATAATGGGATTTAACTTCTCTTATCCCCAGCCTTAAGGACACTATCTTTTGGTTTATAAGAAACATCCGAAGAGGTTTAATCTCACAAGTTCAGCCATGAAAATGAGACTTTAGTTAGCCAACTCTTTTAACCTTGCTTGCTGTTAGTAATCACCGTGTGAAAAAGGGAATGCATCCTTATCCACAGAGGTTTCTAGGTTTCTTTTGTTTCAGTAAGTTTTGTTGATGTCATATAAATTCCCCACTTTATATATAGTCAAGTTAACAAAGGAAAGGAAAGGATATCAAAGTCAACATAATCAAGGAGCTAGATCCTGCAGTCACAGAAGTCTCACCTCATAAAACTCCAAGAAGGTTAACATAACAGTACTGAAGTTGACATCATCTAACAAAACTCGTTGCTTTGCCTGCCAAGGTATCAATTGACCCTCAATCTGAGCCTACAAAGACTACAAGAACAAGCAGTAGTCACTTGGACATGATACACAATCACAGATTCGTCGAAATGACAATATGAATGAATTGTATACCTGATAATAAATGCCCTTTATAGATATGAAAACTTTCCTCAATTTATAAGTGCGAGAAATGTAAGCTTGCCATTCACGACTCAATCTAGCACAAAAGAAAATTATGAATCAGATTGAAACACACACACGGTGATACAATGATGGGACAAAATTTGTTCCCATATCCGAGCAAATAATAACTTTGACCTCTGAACTCCCACCTCAAAGTTTATAAAAAGTAAGAGAGAGAAAAAACATGGACATTTCCTCCTGCATCTATGGATGATGTTCCACGTCAATTTTTGCCCTCTCTACAGCAGGTAATGCTGCAAAAAGATGCACCATGGTCAAGCAATCATCCAAGTCTCTCAGCACATCAACAAACTGTGGATACCTACAACAGCCCACCAAAAGAATAATTAAAAAAACATTTAGCGTTTTCATATCTAAATACCTGCAGATACCTTCAGGAAACCATGAGAATTTGACAAACCTTTCTCTAACAAGCCTGTCTAGTTTGTAAGTGGGTTAGCGAGTTCGAAGAAGAGTAGCAAGATCAGCATTCTTCTTGGCCTCAGCTTTCTTTATCTTCTTCTTTTAGGCCCTTATTTCTCTGAACTTTTCAAGAATTATGGCTGATTTAGCTTCTTCTTTTTTTTTCCCTTAAACTTTTGTTTCTTATTTGTTTTTGGGAGTGGCAAACTATGCCTTCATCTTCTTGCCTTGGCTTTTGATAAACAATGAAACCGAGTTAGCTTCGTGCATCAGTAAGTTTGTTCATAAAAGATAACAGTTTCTTTTATTGTTATTGTTTGTATTAGTGTGTGTTTGTTCATGGGAAAAAAAACCATGAAAAACTTGATAATTAGTGTGTGTTTGTTCATGGGAAAAAACCATGAAAAACTTGATGAATTGATATTGTATTATTACATTATTGTGAATAACTCATCTTAAAAAAGGCTCAAATAAAAGATAAAAAAAATAAATTAAATTAAATTAAATTAAAATTGTCAATTTTGTTTATTCCGTCCAGAATTATCAATTTACCTTGTATTATATATAACAAAGTGAAACAAATTTTATTTCACTTAGAATCCGGGATCATTCTAGATTTTTCATCCAAATTCCGGTTAAAAGTCTGTCTATTTCATTTTAAATTGATAATTTTTTTTAATATTTGTCTTTTATTTCTTTTT